TCTTTTGGAGATATTTTATTTCGGGGGTTTTTAAGAAAATATCTTTTAGAAGATATTTTCATTCTGGGTAGTTTTGTAGATATCCTTTTTTGTAGGGGCCATTACGCAATTAACGAAAGTTATTGCAAAATACCTCATTTTAAGCCTGGATCCTCGTGCAGGATTCATTTTCACCTTTCGTCAAGTCATAAACTCTTAGAATTTTCTCCCGGTCGTTTTCCCCAGTTTTAAGGATTTCTAACCCCCGTTGCCGCCGAACTTGTTTGAGGCATATCTCTCTACTTGTGACTCAATTTTTGACGCCGTTTCTTTCGTTGTTCATATTTTCTCATTTTGATTCTTTTTCGTTCATGGAGTTTTGCCGTTTGAGTGCTCCTGCTCAAATTCCACTTTTTCGGACCCGGCGAGGCTCTTTCAGAGCACTTTTAGGGTTTTACTATAAATAGGGAGTTATAAAATTAAAAAGTTATCTTCCCCTCTCTTCATGGAAGACCAGAAGCTGCCATGGCAGCCCATGGGGGGCTGCCACTCTTCTTTTCTCATTTTAACCTTCTTCCCTTAGGTATTTTGCCGTCGTGCCTGAGCGTTTGTCGTAGGCCTTGGCAAGGCGCACCTTTCCCCCTTATTAGAAGCTGATTCTGACCATTTTTGAGTACGGGTTTTGAGTTTGGATTTGGATTTTCATGGTGCCTCGAAGGTTAAAGATGCTTCCCTCGTAGTCCCCGACATAACCTAGGAGCATCGTCGGATTCGGAGCGTTTTCATTTCAGTGGGGATTTGTGATTTCATCACAAAATGAGGTAGGGGATGTTTTAGGTTTATATATGTGTTGTATTGATAGTTTTATAAGCATATACAACTTGTAAGCATGCCTTTGTATTAATTCTAGAATTTAATTTAATTATTTTTTATGTTTAACATTTAATTCTCATGGTTGTATATAGCTTAGAATTAAATTGCAGCATGCTATTAAATTAAGCCTTGATATGCTTGTTAACATATATTAAATTGGGAGGATTTGAATAAGTATTGCAACTTTTAATTAATCTCTTACTTGAATAAAAATTTAATTCACATGGTTGTAACTAGCATGGAATTAACTTATAATGTGATATTAAATTAGGCCTTAGTATGTTCTTTAACATATGTGAATTTGAGGACATTTGGAGTTGTTTTAAAATCTACTTATTCAAGTATATTCTTTAACATATGTGAATTTTAAGTGTTCTATTCACTTAATTGAATTTTTGACTTCATATTATTGATAAGTTTGGCATGTTCTATCATATATATTAAATAGAGAATATTTGAATAAGTTTTGAAAACTTTATTTGTTTATTTTCTTGGTATTAAGTTTAATTTACCTAGTTGTAACTAGTGTATAATTAGCTTGTAATATGATTTTAAAGTGGGTCTTGATATGTTCATTAACATACCTTGAATTGAGAATATTTGAATGAGCCTTGAATACTTTATTTAATTATTTTCTTGTATTAAGTTTAATTCACCTAGTGATGCCTAGTGTAGAATCAACTTGTAACATGAGATTAAGATAGGCCTTGATATGACTTTTGACATATATAATTTGTAGAATATTTGGAATTGCTTTGTAATCTTGAGAATTTAATTACTTAAGATAATTAAATTCCCTTTTATGCTTCCATTGAGGTAATTAGGCATTGATATTGTATTCTTACTTAATTTGTAGTTTGGAACTTGTTATATGGTTATATGATAGTATTCCATTAGTTGAAGTTATGATTTAACTTGTAAGTGTTCACATTTTACTTATATAACATTTAATATGCCATTGTAGCTTGATGGCCTAGGGCATGGCTTGTGTGTATTCCATGACTTGGTTGTGCGTGGTGATTGATTTTGATGCTTTGTGTATATGTGATATACTTGTTGTATAACTTGATAATTTTTGGAAAGCTTGTATGGACATTGAAAATTATTATGGCTAAGGCATGGCTTTAGTACGGGAGATGAAAGTTCCCTTTATTTCATATAATGCACACCGGTAACCCAAAATTAGTAATATAACGGTTTTATTCCGAGTTTAGTTGCGCACTAGGTAGTACCTTGCGGGCTAATAACCCGGAACCCCTTGCTTGGTCATTGAGATCTTATGTCCTTTGTCTTTCCGCAAATTGTTGATTTCGCATTCAATTTCTAGATATAATCGTGGATTACTTTTAACTTGTGTTTAGATGCATGATACTTCATTTCTTGCTTAGTATACTTGGATTTGTATACTTGTATGCCTTATATATAAAAAAATGCTTAGTATACTTCGATTTGTATACTTGTATGCCATGTATGTCAACATTGCTTAGTATACTTAGAAATGTATACTTAAATATACATGTTGCATTTTCATTTCAATGACATTTAATTTGTATCCTATGTAACTTTTGACTTCATGAAATATTATGAAAATATTGAAAAATGGCAAGTCATTGGCTCACCATGTTTGCATCGGGTGTGGGAATTCCATTTTTATTCTTTCATAAGGTCTCATTAATCATGCATGAAGTGTGGCCAAGGGTCAAACGGTAATTTGAAATCATTTTATAATATTAAGTTTCAAAATTCCATCTTCATGTGCATTTTTGCCCTTTTTGGCCATCGAGGGGTCGAATTTTGCATCGAGTCTTCTCGAGAGCCGCGGACCATCCCCGCACGCTTAAAATCATTTAATATGTTTGCATGCATAATCGTTTTAGCTTAGAAATGCATTTAGGGTCAAATGAACACTTGGTGCAAAGTTGCATTTTCCACGTTTTTTGCCCTTTTCTGATCTAGGGGCATTCTGGGTATTTACAGTATGTTTTTTCATTTTCTTCCACGATACCGGGTAGAAAACGTGATTTCAGGGGAGGTTTCTTCTTCATATTTTTCCAGAAAATGTCGTTAACGGCCCCGTTTTTGCTCTCTGCTCTGGCAAATTTCAAAAAAAAAAAACATGTAGCAACTTTTTGTTTTAACCTTCTTGGTCTAGACTGATCTAGGGCATTTCGGGAATTTCCTTTGAAAAATAAATTCCGGTTTTGACATGGTCACATATAAAACGTGATTTTAGGAGGGTTTCTTCACAACATTTTTGTAGAAAATGTCGTCTCGGACTCGAAAACCTCGCTTCAAATCTGTTTTCCTATGCGCACCTGCACTATTTGAAAAAGTCTGTTGTAAGGGCATTTTGGGAATTTTACGTTAAAAATAAAATTTTCTTTTGACATGGTCAGCTTGGAAAAATTATTTTTAGGGGAGTTTCTTCTTCCTGTTTTTCCATAAAACACCATTTAGTACCTCAAAACAGCATGCGAACTTCAACATTTTGTTCAAGTTACTATTCATTGCTGTCAAAACACTATTCACGGCCTCAGTGACGTCATAACTTTGTTTTGACTTTTCTCTTCCATTCAGACTCCGAATCAAATGATTCTTGAGTCTAACTTGATTAATTTTTTGCTGTTTTTCCAATGGTGTGCTCGGTAGCACCCAGATTTTGCTAAAAATTAATATTTTGCCCTTGAGGCTAAACTTGTCCGAGTTTTCTTTTTTTTTTTTTAAAAAAAAAAAAAAAAAAAAAAAAAAAAAATTGCTTCTTCTATACTTTCTTATGAGTTTCATGACTTCCTATGAAGTCACGGATGTGTCTTGGGAATGATGTACATTTTCAAAGACGTTGCTTCTATATAAAAGACTATTTTGCCCTTGGGCGTCGGTTCTCGTGGAGTTCTGTGGCCTTATGAAAGGTTACTTTGGTGTCCTAGGGATGTTGTATATCCCTAGAGACTTTTTGATTTTTTTTGCTTTTTGTTTTCGCTTCCGCATTTCAGATCCGTTATCGGGTCAAACTATAGTTCATCACTGGACACACAGCCTTGAAAAACTAGGGCCGTTACAATATATGCTAGAATAGATGTTCATGTGTTTATTTCTAGTTTTTGTGTTATTGATGCGTGTCTATTTGTGTTGATGCTATGATTTAGAGATTGTTAATGCATGGTACTTAATAGAATACTCTTGTGGTTTATTTGATGATTCATGCTCATTTCTTGATGGATTGTGCCTCTCCCTTAACTTAATTAGTTTAATTTTCATGTCCTTAGATTAGTTGTAGTGTAGATGCATTACTTTCCTAGATGAGAGGACAATCCATGCTTGTTATTTGATGTTCCATACTTATGAATGCAAGTTGTATATTTCTCTAACCATTTGATATGTTTAGATTGTGAACTTAAAGGAAGGATTAATGACTTGATTTGATATATTGTGCTATTCATTAGGTTATTTAGACAACGTATACTTAATTGGTCATCCATACTTGTTGATTCAATAAAAAACACGCACTTAAGTTGCAACACATGTTTCTCCTCATCTATTATACATTGATTGTCTAGAAAGGTGATATTTAGTGGTAACTCTGAGTCCCAAGATCTCTCCCTCTTGTTATCTCTATCTTTCATTTACTATTGCTTGATTTGCATTGAACTTGTTTAATTTAGTGTGTAGCTTAATCAACCAACCATCTCACATTTTGATCACTCGACCTACTAATTCGACTTTGTTTCCATATTAACATAGCTTCCATTTCCCTTGGAACAATCCCTATTCACCCTAACTACGTTAATAGTATTGGTGATAGTGGCTCTTATAAATTTAAACTTGACCACTTAATACGTTTTAGCTTGTTAGTTCACAGCGACATCACGTAACATGTAACACGAGATAAAAAAATAATAATATAAAAATAAATAAATAAAAATCCAAAAAAATTTGGGACATTAGAACATTCCAAGGTTATCTTAGTTGGTCAACATAGCCAATGCCAATTTAATTTCTCCTCATCAATATATATACGTTTTAGGAACTCCATTAAAGAAAATTTAAGTCTGCAATAATTTTTAAAAAAATATCATGTAATCTTAAAATCGTCAAAACAACCAATAAACGTTTTAGGTTACTTATCTTTAGTTCAAAAGCCTTTTGCAGTTGCTGACTGGGTTGACCAGCGCATTCTAGTCAACATGCTTTTTCACCGATTGGCAACATGTTTCTTTGCTACATCCGCCTAACCCAAACTCAGTCACGTCCCTACAGACTCATTAGATTGAAAGACAGAGATGATGGCAACTAGCACGGTCAAATTTCAGGCTCCAAGTGAAACCAGTTATGACCGTAACACCGAACTAAAAGCCTTTGATGATACAAAATCTGGTGTCAAGGGACTTGTAGATGCTGGTGTTACAAAGATCCCACCAATATTTATCAATCACAAACATGCCCAACCTCACCAAAAACCTTATACTCAGCTTGGCGACTTCTCGGGAACCAAACAAGGTACTATTCCAGTTATTGATCTTGATGGTGTTCATAGAGATGCAACCAAACGCAGAGAGATCATTGGAGAAGTTTTGGAGGCTTGTGAGAAGTGGGGTTTCTTTCAGATTGTCAATCATGGAATTCCGGCGTGTGTTTTGGATGAGATGATAGATGGGATACGCAGATTTCATGAGCAAGACACTGAGGAGAAGAAAAAATGGTACACAAGGGATGTCAAGAGAAAAGTGATGTTTGCGTCCAATTTTCTTCTGTATACTTCGCCGGCTGCTGATTGGAGGGACACCATTTCTTGCTCTATGGCTCCCAATCCTCCGGATCGTGATGAATTACCTGAGATATGCAGGTATGTGATCAAGATTGCTATTTCGATAGAATTAGTTGACTTAAAATGAAATAAAATTGTATTTACTGGAGGGAATTATTGGGAATCTTACAAGATCGATTCCTTCTTTTTTCTTTAACAGATTGTCAAAACTTTTAGAAATTCCTATTTATTTGTTATGAAATCGATCATAGATCAATTTCTCCTTTTATTTTGGAGTATTGAATAATTCCTTGGTGTTAAAGCTGTATAGGCTGACCAAATCTTGGATTGATTGGGATGACAGCAATTCAACCACAAATTTATTCTAATTGATAATATTAATCCAAATCTCTCAAAAATAGCAAACTTGATCCTCCCTCTATTTTTTTTTTTTTCCCCTGAAATAAATAATTATTCCAATTGAACCTTCTCTTATATCATGGAATATACCAGAGAGAAATTATACCTAATAAAAATAAAATTTTGTAATTGGGACATGTTTTTGTTAAATTCCCCTTAAGGAAAAATAGTACAAACAAGTATATAAAAATTTATCAATTTAAAATATGCACTTGTAAGTTTTATTAAGCATCATCTGCCACAAGGGTGGTCTCACTGTGAGCCCCCTTTGTCCGCACAAAACCATGATGTGGTTTTGCAGCATTTTTGTTCCAAGACTTATTACACGATATTGTCTAGTAGCAATTGTTTCATTTAGAACTGTCTATGTGATGTATTTTGAACAACTTGCAGTGATATAATGATTGATTACTCAAAGCAAGTGATGAGATTGGGGGACACAGTCTTTGAACTAATATCGGAGGCCCTTGGACTCAACCCCAACCATTTGAAGGACATGGATTGCGCCAAGCAACTTTACCTTTTCGGCCATTATTACCCTGCGTGTCCTGAACCAGAATTAACTTTGGGTGGTAGAAGCCACTCTGACGGTAACTTCCTCACCATACTTCTACAAGACCAGATAGGTGGCCTCCAAGTTCATCATGAGAATCAGTGGGTTGATGTACCCCCGATGCGTGGAGCTCTAGTAGTAAACATTGGAGATCTTTTGCAGGTAAGTCTATGGTATACTAAATTTGCCAGTTTCTTGATAGACAAAGTTGCTTACAAAAAAAAATAGGTAAGAAATGAATCACATTGATTAATTTTCTTCATTTCTGGTTTTGGGCAGCTCGTCAGTAATGACAAGGTTAAGAGTGTGTATCATAGAGTATTGGCGAGAGATGTAGGGCCAAGAATTTCAGTGGCATCCTTTTTCTTACCATTCTGGAGAGGAAATTCCTCGAGAGTTTATGGACCGATCAAGGAATTAATATCAGAGGAAAGCCCCCAAATCTACCATGAAACCTCTATAAAAGACTATCAGTCTCACTACACCTCGAAAGGGCATGATGGAGTGAGTTCATTGCTGCATCTGAAGTTGTGAAGTTGGCCCTATAATATGGGAACTAACTCCCACGTGGCTTGTGGAAAATAATATATATATATATATTTTTTTTACCAGTCTTTGAACCTTGACCTGAGACTTGGGAGTTGAGATTCAAAGTCACTAAGACAAAGGTAGATCGGTATGTAGCTTGTCGAATTGGTGATGTTTTGTTTGGTGTTGAAAACAATTTACTTGTTTAAACAATGTCCTGCTTTTTTACCATGCGTATCTGCTATGCGGAATAAAGAGTTGCTTTTATAATTCGAATGTTGTTCATATCAGAATCAATTAGGTTAATATGGACTTCAAATTTCTAATTTAAAGGCTTACTCGATTCGCAGGTAAACCTATAATGGTGGAGTTTCTAGAACTTGGCTATAGCCCTGCTAAGTGGCGGCAGACGCCCCCACTGAATTATTTTATTTATTTATGTTGCATATCGGCTTTCTCTAACTCTCTTGTTTTTCTTGCTATCTGTCGCCATGCATCATCTCTCTCTCACACAAATTGGTGAAGATTGATCAGTTCTACTAGAACCACAGTTTTCATTGTCTTTACCTTTGTTATTGTTATGTCTTTGGAATATTTTGTCTGTGTTTATATATATATATATGTACTTGTATGTGTTCATAATAATGAAATTCATTTATTTGCTTATCCTCGTTTAAAATTTTGCACTTTGCGAATGCTCTAATCCCTTCAAAATGTGATTGATTCCTCCTCTTTCTTCAAATCTGAATTTTGTCTGATCAATCTATATAATCTGATGTAAACTCTGAAGATTTCGTTGATTAGAAGAAGAACCTCACCCTAAATGACTCCTGTTTAAGTATGTGCTCTAGAAAATAAGCAAATGTCCATGTAAAAGACGAAAACTTGTTTTCCTATTTGAAGGTTTGATCTCTCTTAGGGTTAGAGATATGAGACGTTTTATATGTCAGAGAGTCCTTAAAATAGAAAGGGGTTTTAAAAATGTACAAAAACATCACTAAAAGTTTTGATAAAACTGGAAATTAAAATGTTAATAAAAACAGAGATTTCAAAAAGTTTAATCAGTTGAGTTTGAAGTTTAACCGGCTGAACTTTGACCGATTGCAACAATTTGCTCAGCATAAAGTTTAATGGGTTGATTTTGAAGTACAATCTGCTCGATTTTGATAGAATGCAAAAATAACCTTTTTCCAAGCTTGAAAACTCCAATGCACTTGTCACCAACTCAAAGTACATATATGCAATATGTCATCTTTCACGTACCTAATCTAATTGATGTTTTCATCAAATTCAACCGTAAGAGGCATTTGTACTTCTGCTCCTAATGACCAAGACTCAAGATTAAAAAAAAAAAAAAAATTACAACTCGATCGTCAAGTTTGACTTCGAATTCGAAATTTACTAACATACAAATTTATATCTCACAAATGGAACATAGTTAACACTATTGTTATAGAAATATCATGCTTATAATTCTTTTGCACAGAATTGGGGTCTTGCTAAAAATAAACATAATGTGAATAAACCCAAAATTTCTCAAGGTAATAAGAATTCATATAAGAAAAAGAATTTAGTTGGTGTTCCTTAAAATTCTCTTCATAATTTGAGTGTTAAAAAAATTTGAACGAAGAAAGAGGATTTTGACAAGTATGTTCTTGTTGATGGGTGTAAAATTACCCAACTAGATCCTAAAGAGTGCATATAGTCATGGACTATAAAAAAGGAAGAAAGGAAATTGTTGATTTCTAATTAGAGTGAAAGCCGTGTTGCTTAGAAAGAAAAAGAAAATTTTATTTTTATTGGCCATGTGAATTTTCTTGATGATATTGGTCCAATGTGCTTTAGTTAAATGATCAAAGGAATTTGATTAATTGTTGATAATGTTAGACTGCATACACACACATGAACTTGTCACATGAAGTTTTAAATTTTCATAAATATTGTGAATTGTGATCCATTTTTTTTTTTTTTAAAAAAAAAAATTACAAAAAAATTTTGTTTATCTTTTATAAGGAATTTGTTCTATGTTTTGAAGTGTATTTATGTCCTTTTTATGTTTAAGTGTTTATAATGTGTGATTTGAGGGCATTTTAGTCTTTTTATGTGTTTCTCAATAAGTGGGACTGGTCGAACTTACTTGGACTAGTCACACTTTCACAGTCTTGGATTGTAGGTTTCACTATTAGGGATGTAATAGTCAAACTGGTCACGTACACTCAGTTCAATCGATCGGTCGCACTTCTACGATTTAGTGCACTTAACTTAGTAATATGCACGTTACAAGGCTCATTTTAAACATTTAAAGCAAATCCTAATTGATCTTCTTCACTTTATGCACTCTTGAAATGATTTGTCAAGGGTTTTGTGATTATTCTCCATCTTTAAGTTTTCGATTACTATCTATCACTAAAAATCCTAGGTTTTGATTGCTCGAATTTGGTGATTCTTAATTGTTGTTTTTGTGGTGTTTTGAGTTTTGTTGATGTCAGTGAGGATATATTGTTGATTTTGTGAATTGTCATTAATCGCAGAAGCATTTTAAGTGTAGGCACCCCATATTTTCCCTCCCCTTTGAACCAACCAACCTTCTAAACCACGAGAAGGAACGGAGTTTCCATCACCTGAGTCCATTTCTCCGATAGGGCCCGCCTACGATAGGAAATTGAAAACAGACAATCAAACCATTCGATTGGATATTGGACTTCTTTATTACACTTATGACATCACATAACAATACAAAACACTTCGATCGACTACATCACATACTTCTCGACACCCGATCACCAATTCCCTAAAAGGGGCAAAATTAGCATTTTACACTACAACCATGTGATCCGATAGTCAAAACAACAAATGAACTTCACTATTGAGTCCAGAGCAACAAAAAAGCCCTAGGCTACACCTCTTCTCGAGGTTTCCACCCTTCTCCATCATCCACTTTGACCAAAACCCTTGGCGATGCCCGAGCGATCAACCCTAAGTTTGACATTTTACACCGATGGTCAAACTCACCCACAAACTTCACCATTGTGCTTAGATGGTCCAAAAACCTAGAAAAGCACTGTAATATTGCCTACCTTTCGGCCCAGATCTACCTTTGCCCAAGTCTCTATAATAAGACCAACTAGTCAAATCCAAGGTTTGACTTTTCCTCCGAAAAGTCAAATGGACAAAGGGACATCACCATTGGATTCAAAGGGTCCAAAAATCCTAGAAACCATTATAATATTGGTCATGTTCCGGTTTGGGGCGACTTTGACCTAATTTCCATTCCTAGGGGCAAAATAGGTAAAACATCAATCCAAGAAATGGCCTTAGATTCGAAAATGGCATGAAAATGTTGTTTCCGGAAAAATAGGGGCAAAAAAGACATTGATCGAAGAGAGAGAAAATGAAAAAGCACAAAAAAGAACAGCCAGGCTCCACGCGGCCATAGGTCCTTTTTGAAAACTAAGGGGGGCCATATACTTCCCCCCCCCCCCCCCCTTTCTTCCATTGATCTCCGTCATCGTATCAAATGTACTTTTTTAGAAATTGCAAAAAAGTCCATGAAAATTGCATTTTGGTCCTCTGAATATTGCATTCAAGTCCCTTGAAATTTGTCATTTGATCCCTTCTTGGCCTGTATATGGTGCACACATTCCCACATTTCAAGGGTCCCCATTTCTAGAAAAAATTACCAATTTTTAAGAATGCACTATATAAGAATACCCTCTCTCTCTCTCCATATATATATATATACACACACACACACACATACACTCACACACACAAACACCAAGAACACACACTCCTTCTCTAATCACACACATATATTTCATCTTTCTCTCTACCCTTTAAGAGAGAAGCTCACAGATCATCAAAATCTTAAAGAACAGAGCAAGAACTTCAAACAAAGTGGGGCAACAATATTATCTACCTCTCTTTTTCATCTTGTTTAGCTTACTTTTCTATGCTTTAGTTCATATTTTCTCTCTTTGCTTTGATATTTGTGTATCTTTACAAGCTTTAAGTTCATTGCTTTTCTTTTGATGTAATACACACACACACACACACATTTTCATACGTGTGTCCAACAACGACGAGATGACATTCTTGGCTTCCCGTTGTCATATTTGGCCTTGCACATGCAAATGATTTATCGGTAGCTCTCCGTATTCGGAATTTTCACTTTTTGGCCTCACTTTTCATTTTTCATGTCCATTATTGCTCTCTTTATGAACATATTACTCTTCTTTACATTTTTATGTGCTTTATGATAAGTACACAAAACCTATTATTTCATGCACCAAAATAAGTTTTTAATTAGACTTTTACATTATTTAAATATTCTTATATACTTGTTTTGTGTTTTGCAGGTGTTAATGCTTGAATGGGAAGAATGCAAGCAAAAATGGAGAACACAACATTGAAGATTATATATTTTACTAAGCAAAAGAAAACACAAGGAGCATTGTAGCTAAGATGGAATTGTGTTCAAATGTCTTTCATGAGTTCCCAAGTTCGAATCCTTCCAAAGACAAGAAACATTGTCTTTTTGGTCCTCCATCTAGTCAGCATGCCACATCATCATCTGCAAAATATATATATATATTATATTTTGAAAGAAGAAAGAAGAAGCCACGTTTAAGAAGCTAAAAAATGAGGAGAGAGAAAGAAGAAAAGAAAAAGAAAAAGAAAAGTCAACAAAAGTGGTTAAAATAGAAGTTAGGAAGAAAAGGTGAAGAAGTGGTTAATATGTGAAGTGGTCAGTGAAGTGAAGGTGGCGTGAGGAAATGAAGAAGCAGTTTGGGAAAAGCCATCATCACAGCCTACAAGTGGGTTACTTCCTTTGGCTATAAATTGCACACTTCGGAGGCAGAGTGATATAGTTAGAGATAGAGATAGATAGAATAGATTTGTAGAAATTTTTTCTTGCTTGTTCTAGTTGTAATTTCATTCTCAGTTAATGCATTGTTGTTTTATTACTTATCAGTTCTGGCACTTGAATTTTCTTTTTTAATATTGCTTTAATTATTTGTTTTTCAATATTTCTCTATGATTTTAGTTAATTCTTGTCAGTGACAAACTCTAAAATCAATGTTTTTAAATCTCTTGTCCAAAAATAAAAACTCCCTTGAATGCGTGGTTCGACCCTACTTACCATTAGACATTTTTAGTTAAATGGTTGTAGGTATTTTATCTTGATATGATGTGTATTTGACAATGATAAATCCATAAATTCACGCCTACCAAATGGCGCTGTTGCCGCTTCAAAATTAAGTTTTAAT